CTGTAGCACACAAACCAACTAAAGCCCTCCAAAACATCTTAAGTAAACCAAAAGATCCAGTAGCCAAAGAAGAAAAAACAGGAGTCATCTATAACATACAGTATAAGGACTCTAACAGTCACTGTGTAGGACAGACAGGGAAAAGACTAGTAGAGCGCATCCATGAACCCAACTAGCAGTCAGAAGACACGATGAAAACTCCTTAATCTCACAACACATGGATAGACTCAGCCATAGTTTCAACTGGGAAACTGTGAGCATCCTAGACCAAGCTAAATCCAAAACACTAGGGAATTCCTGGAAGCTTGGCATTCAGACAAATCAGCCATCGATAGACACAGAGATAAACCACATTTACCCACCATTCAAAAGAGACAATAAAAAAGCTAAGAATGAAACAAAAAGACCAGATGTGTCCTCTCCAGCAACCAACACCTAGATAAGCAGGGATTAACACCAGACAAACAATCAAACAGAAAAGAATACCCTAATCAAGGAACTACCAAGGAGAAAACCACACACCCCCTAACACTAGCAGGGCAAGCTGCTGGCAGGGCAAGCTACTAAACAGGGAGCAAACCCCACACTCATTAGCACTAATGATTACTTAATCAGGCAAGGAAATGTCAGCAAGGAAACAACTAAGCTCAGAGAGCACCAAGGACTCTACAGTTCAACTCTGAGCTACATGTATACTCTTCTATTGGAATCATCAATATGCCCTGATATAACAACTGGCTGCATAAAGACCTGAACTCAGAGACAGAAATTGCCGTTATTGTAGATGATATTTCAATATTTGATTTTTTTCAAACAAGTATTAGCTACCATTTAGACTTGTTGCTTTGAAAAATGTCCTGGTTTTACATATTGTGAGAATAAATGGAGCACTCTGTGTTTCTGTAGGCAGAGGATTTTATTATTTTCATACGGTATCTTTAACAAAATGTCAGTTTTGCCATTGGATTAGCTGTCCTTGCTGTTATAATTTTTCATGCATTTGATGTTTCTTTCCCTCCCTGCAGTGAATCTTTATGACATAAAGCATAACAGGATCAAATCCTTTAGGGAAATAAAGATTTTAGAGATACTGACTATAGTGTCAAATAAATGCATGACTTGAAAGTGTTGCCTAGAATTAGTAATGTATGTATTTTGTGTTGTGCAACTGGGAAGCTATTATAATGTTGGATGAGAAATAGCATTTTCGTTGTACATTTAAAAACATACCAGAACAGATACACATATACCTGATTCCTGTGCCAGCTGTGTTTGCACCTAGCAATATACTTTTGAAGCTGCTTCCTCTGCCTTCACAGTGCCAGTAAATAAATCTTCAATGTTCTTCCTACCTGAGTTAAGTATATACAAGTAGTATCAAATTAATTGGGTCTTCAGAGACTCTGTTCTGGGAGTTGGGCAGGGGGCAGCTTTCAGAAGTGATTCTCACTGATACCCCAGTTATAAACTACCTTTTTATAGAAAAATCTCAGGATGCCAATGTTTGGCACCTATGTAAATGAAAATAGTTCTTGTCCTGGTACAGAAACTTGAATGCCATCGTCATGTAGTGATTTGAGCTATTCTCCAACATGAAACCCTCCAGCTGTGTTGGATTTCAGTTCCCATAATAACAGTGATCACCTTGGATTATTTATTCCTCCTCATTCTAATCTATCTGATAAAACTGCTTTCGGTCCTCTTCTGTCATTGAAGTCATTTATAAAATCGTAAACACTTTCAAAGGACTTTATCCTTCATTTTGATCATGAAACAATGCTTGTATGTATGAATCCATTAGACTGAACATGCAAAAGCCCTTGCTTCTGAGCTACATTTTTAAAAACAAACAAACAGGAATGAATTAGCTTTGCACTACATGCGTTAAAAAAAGGACTAGGAACCCCTAGTCTTTTTTTAACGCATGCAGTGCAAAGCTAATTTGGTGAAGCTTTAAAAAATTGAAAGATCTCTACAGTGTGGGCCTTTGAAAAGCATCCTTTCCACAGTGTAGATATTCCAATGAAATCTACATGCAAGTGCCAGGCCCAAAGGGAATTGATGATACAAGTTTCCAAATAGACATAAAATCCAATGTGTTTGTCCAACAAAATAAACAGCAGTATAAATCAAAATTAGAGCATCTGCATTGTACAGACGCACATTCAACAATAGGAACTGAAATGGGGAAATTTTATACAAAAAACCCAAAGTAGCTTAACTTTGGATCTCCAGGCTGCTTAAACATTGAACATAGCATTTTCAAGAGACAAGAATCAGGATAATGACCTCAAATGTGAAGATCACATTTCATTGATAGGGCTTGTCTTGCTGCTGCCTTAGTTCATCTGAAGCAACAAGGACTGGCATCTGGTATGGTGGGATTTCTTTGCTTGCCTGCGAAGGCTGATCCCTGCCTTAAACTGCTTCTGTTGAGCAGTTGGATTGATGAGACTCACTTATCACTTTCATTAGTTCTTATTAGACCTACATTTCTTCAAGTCTGAAGTAGGCAATTGCTAAGGGGGACATAAGTGCTCTCAGATTGCTTTCATATATGTTTTAGTACAGTGTGATTGAACCAGAGATGGTATGCCGCAGTTTACCCCTTCTTATTATGCATCAACATCAATCTTTGCAAGTAACTATATGAACTTTATCATCTGCATAGTTTACATATGGTATGGATTAATGGTTCTCAAGAGCAGTGGATCAGTACAGAACAGAATTTGCATTACAGCTAAAAGCCAACCATAGTAACTGGTTGGCCTTTGATTGTAATATTAATCATATTAACAAAATAAAATTCCTTACCGCTGTCTTCTTACACTCTGAAAAAAAAAAGAGATTCCATTAACATGCACTATATATCACTCCTTGAGTAGCTGTTATCTCCTCTCTGACATTAGAAGCTATTACACAAAATGTTGCCACATTGTGATAACATGCTTATCCTTATCTGATAAATGTACAAAAAAATAAAAATAAAACAGATCTGAATGGCCTGGGAATTTCAACAAAAATAGGAGTAATGTACTATCTCTGTAAAGAACAATTTCTGTAAAAATATAATATAAAAACACGTGGATAATATTTTCAGTTACTTCTGATCCAGAAGGGCAGAGATGCTCTTTATATAGAATGCCTATATCTATCTTGTAGAAATGCTGATAGTAACATACCAAATCTTGTTTTTATAAATAAATTGTTTTGGAGATAACAGAGACGATATGAAGTAGATTTCCTTCTATGGTGAATGACCTAGTCTCTGATTCCACTATTTTTAAGGAGATGGTATCTTGCTGAAGATCAGTATTCTCAGATTGTTGCCTCACAGTCTGCCTGAATTGCTACTTGCTTGTAATCCAAAGAGAAGAAGCTCTTTGAGGGATCAATCTACTGCATGCAGCTTTAACACTATGGTTTACTTCCACTTGGACAGAAGCAGTAGGTCAGCAGTAACAAGTGCTGTTCAATTCCTTTGAAAGGTGATTTTGAACACATGGAAGCACATATGAAGCACCTCTTTTTGAATAATTAAAGCAACTGTCTCTCTTCTCTTTCTCATGTGAGTGCATCAGAACTGCTTCAGCTGATTCTACATGCATGGTGGACGCACAACCACTTCATACTGTCTCTCTCCCAGCCTAAAATGAAGGCTGAATATTCACTTGTGCGCAGAAACAGCTGCAAGAGCTTGAAAAAGGACACTGCTACTTTAATAATCCCAAAGGAGGTGTTCTTGCATGGACTCCCTCTAAATCACTTCTTTTAAAGGATTTGCCTAGCCTTATTGGTGATGGTTTGATAAACCAAATAATAAGTGGTTTGAGCACAGTCATTTTTTACTTCAGTTCAGTAGAAATAAAATCACTGAAAAGCACAGAGAAGAGAGGGGATGTTTAACACATGTATTTCACTCACAAATGCAGCCTGAAATAACCCAGTGATTCATTTCTGCAGAGGAGAGTGTCCAAGAGTTCAAACTGAAATGTGAAATACTGTCAGTGTCTATTAGCTTTCTTAATTCTATAAACTGATTTTCTTAACTTTTTCACTTAATATTTTGAGAATCATTTAAATTGGTGATTGTGTGGAAGTTCCTATGAAGCTGAAGTTGATGCAGAAGTGAAAACAAAATAGGCTAGCAAATGAGACAGTGAAGCTGCCAGTGCTCCTGAGTGCGAATGATCTCCAAATTTGATTAACTCTCAAACCAAATTAGGCTGAAATTTGCCAATCAAGCTACTGAATGTGTAAATAATTGCTTCAGAAGTTCCTGTTACATATTACAGGATTAAAGTAATAGATTTTGACCTTAAGATAAAAAGGGTAGAATAACAAATAATACCAGAGCTTCTACCAGCCCTGGTCCACAAGAGAGAAACAGATTTGTAATTGTAACACAACGGCCATCCAACAATATTGAATTTGAAGGCTGGGGGCTTTTGAAAAAGTATCTCCACACAGCAGGGATCTTGAATGCTTACAGTGGTTACAAACTAGGATGATATAGAACCTTGCATTTCCAGCACTAGCTTAAAAAAACAGATTTGAATTTCTGGACCAGGTTACAAGAAAGGAAAGTACTCAAACACTGGTCTTTCTGGTGCAGAATTTGGTGCAATCATCCTGGTATTGGTTGGCACACAGAGGCTTATATTCAATTGTCGACCTGATGTCCTTGGGCATGTTGGTTAAATAAAAAGTTTAGGGATGCTTTAGAAATTATCTCCATTCTTCTTTAAGGCATGACTATCTTATGGTTTTAAACAAAAAGAAAAACAAAAGAAATGAAGGCTGTATACCTTTGGATTGATTTTACATTAAAATAAAAAAAATGAAATATTCTAAATACCAAAGTACTTTTTTAAAAAAATTATCCATGTGATGAGGTCATCCCCTGATCCCTGCAGTCCCCAGCCATTGAAAAAGTACGGCCCCCCCAAAATGGTTTATGCCATCAATTTTATTCATTTGTTTTTTTCCCCTCTTCTTAGAACTACGCAATGATGTTGTGGCAGCAAGCTAATCAACATGCGCAGAACGCCACTAATCAGCCTCACTTTGGAGCACATCTCTCAGAGGAGAAACTTAATGCCCTTCGAGACGAGCAACTTGGACAGCTGCAAGAACTAATGCAAGAGGCCACCAAACCCAAGAGACAGTTCGACATTTTAGACGATGGAGACCACAGACATTAACACATTTCTTTGAATTTCATTTTTATGGTCTTTCTTTTTTTGTACTTCTTTGCAAAATGGTTTCACCCTAAAGAATAAAGGAAGATGGTATAATTTTATACTATTTTCTTTGATCCTGTAAGGATATGCATGATGAATAATCAGAAGTAGGTACAGTCATCTTTGTATTATGTACGGCCTACACTAAGTGTGTAGAATAGTTTAATATTTTGGAACATTTTGGCTGTGCTAAATTTATCACATGCAGGAGGTAGGATTAAAATGGCTTTGTACTAAGAGTGTATTTTGTGGATAGTCAGAACATCAGAGAGGGAAGAAATTTGAATTGCATTGTGATGCAAGTTCAAATTTTAATAGTCATTTTGCATTTTTTGAAATAGAATGCAGCTGTATGTATTTATCATAATTTATTGTTTGATCCAGGTGTCTTGAAGATCATAGCAAATTCTGCCTTTGAACCTTCTTTTAAATAATACTCTGCCAAAATTTGCCTTCCTTTTTCCCAACATTTTTCTCTTGCAAAAGAAACTTCTGCTTTTCTATTTCATTCTCAGGTGTTAAAGTAGCAGAGGGTATTGTGACTTTTTCTGAGATGCATCTTTCCATCATTCTTCAGCCTCCCTTGCTGTACTTGCTTCCTGTTCTGAAAAAAGTTCCCTTGTGATGTCTTCCCTTTAGATTTAATTGGAATATAGCAAGTCAAACAGGCTCCAGACCACTGGGGAGATGATTGTTCAGTGAGAGACAAATATCTGCATACACAGTTCAGCTGCTTCTTAACTAAGGAAAGTGAAGAAATTCTGCATCCTACAGTTTTGAGAAGAGAAGTTGATCTGAATAGATGGACCTTCCTATTGTTTAATACGCACAAGTCACCAGAACCTAATAAAAGTCTCATTGTTTAAAAGTAGTCATTCTCTGTGTATTTTTAACATAGTGTCACTTTTTAAAAATTCAAATATGAATTCAGAGTTGGTGAGACAGTCAGGTTTTGTAGGTGGCAACTGGAAGTAAAAAGAAATTGGTCTGTGTATATTAATAATGCTGGACATAATTTTAGATGGGGATGTCTGTTAGGGTTTGATAAGAGCTAGTGTGGTTATAGTGTTGGCTTAGACACAGAAGATTTAGATTCAAGTCCATCCTCAGCTGTGGAAGGTGACTGAAAGAGTCAGACCAAAGTACCTGTCATGATGAAGTATAATAATTACAAATAGGCAGAGAAAAGAACAATTCTTATTTTGAACATAGTTTGCCCAAGATTTAACTCTTCATTCCTTATTTGCATTCCAACTAAAAACATCTCCTCCATCAGGGTTCCTCAACCTTGGCAACTTTAAGACGGGTGGACTTCAACTCCCAGAATTCCCCAGCCAAGGCTAAAATAAGGGCCTAATGCAAGGATTGATGTACCAATTTGCTCCTTAAATTCCCACCATCACCTCAAAAGGTGAGCCCCACCTATTAAAGCCACAAAACCTGCAGCCATCAGTGAAATTTAAAATGAAAGCAGGGCCCTCAGATACAAAAAGGCTACCCATCCTATCCTAGAAGAAACAGGCAATTCAATATATAGCTTGTATGATCAAATTCTAAACTAAATGCACAAACTGATTCTTTTTGTTGTATATTCCAGTAATGTTTTTGATGCCGCAAAGAATGTAGTGTTCTTGCCCTGTATGTATACGCTGAGGAAAAAGAGGCTGGCTGGGGAATTCTGGGAGTTGAAGTCCACCCGTCTTAAAGTTGCCAAGGTTGAGGAACCCTGTCCTACATGACTAAACATGGCCTGAAGCTTTAGGAAAAGTTTCCACTGATACTAAAGGGATTTTTTATTTTCTTTTTTAAAAAAGCTCTAAGCCAGATATAGGAGACAAATTTTCCTTAAAATATGAATGAGGATCAAGAAAGTAAACACTCCTTTGCTACATGTAAGTAAAATAAGAATCTCCTATCTTGTAATTAATTATTGATACCAATGAAGAAAAGATAGCTAAATTTGACTATATGACAAGCATATAATGCATATTTTGGCTCTCAGACACAAGCATGGTTCTGATTTATATGAGCCGGGTTTAAGAGTGCAGTAATAATTAGTGTCTTCAGTACAGTGGTACCTCGGTTCACGAACTTAATCCGTTCCACGATTCTGGTTGCCAACCGAATTGGTCGCCAACCGAATCAAATTTCCCCATAAGGTTCGGTGTAAATAAGGTTAATCCGTTCTGAACCATTTGTATTTTTTTTTAAACCACAAAAAAATGAAACAAAGTACAGTATAGTATGAAGAGAGAGAACACTAACCTTGCTTGAGGCAACACCAAAAAGCTTCACAGCAAGCGTCTGTCTGTGACCGTGATCTCACCTAGAGGAAGCCACGACCACGTGTCAGAGCAGGGAAGATGGCTGCGGGTCGTGTTCGTCACCCAATGCGGAGTTCGTGAACGGAAGCAAAAATTTGCAAACGCTGTTCGTGAACCGAATTGTTCGAGAACAGAAGCGTTCGTGAACCAAGGTATTACTGTACCACCATTTTGCATCTAATTCCACATCCAGACCCATGAAGACTGCTCACAGATTTCAGGAGATTGTTCGTTTGTGAGTGTGTTCACTGTTTAGAGGGATGTTATCATGGGGAATGGTAGCAATATTTCCCTGTGTGCCTTAGGATCTGCCTTGACATTCACTGAATGTGTTTCTTGTCCAAGACATTATACAGATCATGGAAAAAAAGAAATGAAAACTCATTTGCCTGATCTGAGCCCTGTATCATCCAACATTATTAAAAACTTCTCAACAGCTGTAAATGGAAATAAGGTTTTTTTCCCAGCTTAAAAAAAAAAAATCATGTCTTCCCCTAACATATTATTTTGACCTTTCTCAAAAAAAATAAATATATATATATATATCCACTTTGAATTCCTAGTTAAAAAGAATGATTTGGTGTGGAATTAACTTCATTGCAAGATTAAAATAGAAATGACAGTGATTAAAATAGTTGAGTATAATATAAGTTTCCATTAAAATGTCAAAAAGTACAAGTCTCTTGAAAATTAGTCTAAGTAATTTGTTCAGTTTTCTATTTTCTTTTAACTTTGAGTGTTAACTAAATAAGTCCTTCTTGCCTAAGACAATTTTAGATATTTGTTATTTTTAGAGGGATTTCATTGGTCCTTACCAAGTGGATGGGCAGGATCCAAATACTCTTTTTCCTCAGCGTATATATACAGGGCAAGAACACTACATTCTTTGCGGCATCAAAAACATTACTGGAATATCCAACAAAAAGAATCAGTTTGTGCATTTAGTTTAAAATTTGATCATACAAGTTATATATTGAATTGCCTATGTTTCTTCTAGGATAGGATGGGTAGCCTTTTTGTATCTGAGGGCCCTGCTTTCATTTTAAATTTCACTGATGGCTGCAGGTTTTGTGGCTTTAATAGGTGGGGCTCACCTTATGAGGTGATGGTGGGAATTTAAGGAGCAAATTGGTACATCAATCCTTGCATTAAGCCCTTATTTTAGCAAAATATAAAGCAAAAACAGAAACTCAGCCGACCACAGGACATTATCAAGAGAGCTATTAATGGCAACTAGACCACAACTTTATTGATCTCAATCCACAGGTAGGTTACTGGAATGAAAAGCAAAGCTCACTATGATTTAAACAGTTTTTTTTAAAAATAGTTTTTTAATTCTTTCTGGCCGAAGAACCAATGATCAAACTCATAAGAACACAGTGTGACCATTGATGTACCACCAGTGAAGAGGAAATGCAAAGGAGACACTGGTATATGTTAAATAATGAATAATGTGACAGTCCACTTATTGATAGACTTGGACCAATATTCACATGCATCTTTGATTTGGACAAATGTGTTGGCCTCCTATTTGTTTTCAGCCCCAATGTAAAGGTGGTTTGTTGTCGTTTGCTTTTAAGGTTCTAAACAGTTTGTATCCTGCTTATCTCAGTACCCTCCTCCCCATTACTTTGAGACCCTCAGGTTTTGCTCCTGCAGAATCCCTGCTTTACGAGGAAGCTTAGTGGCAGAGCAGGGTGAGGTCCCAATCTTCCATTGACCTCCCTGCGGCTCCTGATCTATTGCTGGATTTATTTAATAAGCTCCATATTCAGTATATTAAAAGGAAAATTCATTGATCACAGAAGTGTTTGTAATTTTGTTTAAGGGCAGTAAAGTCTTTCAGATACAGGGTTTAGTGGAGTGGGGGAGTACTTTTGAAATAACTTACAAGGAAGCCTGGAAAAGACAATAATAAAAATATAGTTCTATTGTAATTAAGTAAGGTACCTAATTAAGGAAATGAGTGGGACTTTGAAATGTCACAACAGTCATAAGGAATTCTTAGAAAGGCTGCCCAAACTTTTCATCTATATCCAGGGATAACTGTTGCCAGTTAGAAAAACATATTCAGGGGACAAAGTAGAGCTTTCTCAGGCTTCATTATGAATCTGATTACCTAAACAAATTTGGAATGAATAGTGATCTGATCCCTATTTGTTTCTTTTAAACTCTTGAGCTCTTCCAGATTTCAGATCTCATTGCCTTCCCTATAATGTGTTTCCTATTTTCTGCTCCCACTATCTGTTAGCTCTACAAGGTAGACCAGATCAGGAAACCAACTTGACAGGAAGACTAGAACCATCCTTTATTGAGATAGGTTACAGTACAGAAAGTCCTTGCTTAGCGATGGCCTCGTTTAGCGACCATTTGCAGTTACGACTGTGATGAAAAAGTAACTTTACAACCAATCCTCGCATTTACAATCTTCATAGGTCTGTAAAGCAAAGGAATGCTGAAGTAAGATCTCAAGAACACTTGCAGTTTCACTTAGCGACCACTTTGCTTAACAACTGAGTTGTCAGTCCCAATTGTGGTCACTCTTGCAAATCTGCCTGTGTTTTCCCTTCCTCTCTCTTATACTTCACGGTGTCAGGGGGTGCCAGCCAATACTTTCCTGCCTCCCTGGGCCTAACACATGCTTCAGCTCCTGTTGTCCTGATGGCTTTCGGAGGTCTTCTCCAAGGACCTCTCCGTGGCTCCCTACACTAACCATCTGACTGATTTTTCACAAATTGTTAACTGCCTGATTGTCCTCCCAAGCTTGTGTTCGGATGGTGGTTCAGCTCCTTTGGTTTGGGGTATATTTTATCTTTTGTGTTATGGGCCAGTGTTATAGTCAGTTGTATTCTCTTTCTTTGATATATGTTGTTTCTTTTAAATTCTCTTTTAACTGTAAGCTGACCAGAGTTGTGGATTTGGGCAGCCTCAGAATTGAAATAATACATTAAATTAAATTCTCTCATCATTTGTAAACATTTTCTGTGACAGTGCAGCACTCCTAGAAAGTGTTTTCCTGGGACTTTTGAATTAACAGTAAAATAAAAGTGGAAATTCCCCCAGATCTTTGTGTTTTGAAACTGCTAAACAGCTTCCTGAAATAATCTGGAATGGATTAATGTTCTAATTAATTAACAAGAGTCAGTTTGGTGTAGTATTTAAGTTGCTGGCCTGGAAACCAGGAGACTCTGAGTTGTAGGCCATCTTTAGGCATGAAAGCTGGCTGGGTGACTTTGGGCCAGTCTCTCTCTCTCTCAGCCCACCTCACCCCACAGGGTTGTTGTTGTGGGGAAAATAGGAGGCAGGAGTATCTTTGCCACCTTGAGTTGACATATATATTATTATTTTATAAATAATAATAATAATAATAATAATAATAATAATAATAATAATAATAATAATCTGAGTGCCTGGATTCCTAGGCATTATAGTTCCCATATCTCCAACACCACTGCTCTAGAATTATTATTATATTATTATAAAATGGTGGCCATAGAAGATAGCTGTCACTATCATTCCTGATGGATA